TTCTTTTTTGCATGAACACTAAAAAAACCCGGATGTTGTCGACGAAATTTCGCAGAACTAAATGGTATGGGACTCCCTTTCCGGAGGTGCGATCGGGGCCGGCGGAGCTTGGGTGGACGCCGCGAAGCGGCGTGTACTGGTTAAGTTTTGTAATTAGCAGCCGCATACGGTCGCCGCGAAGCGGCGTGAACGCAGGCGGGGGGCTCTGTTAACGAGCTTCCCAGTGATACCCGCGCCGATCGAAAAGGGTGGCCTACGCGGCATGAGCTCTCCACGGAGTGCGTATACATGCCTTGCACGTGACGTCATATGGCACCGTGTCAGCTGCCATCGCTCCGTACCAGGTTCCTGTACGGAGCCTTCTGCGGCATACATTTGGCACCATCGAATCTGCACTTCTCGGCAAGCCTTGACCAGAAAAACAAATTCAATGGTATCAAATGTAGGCTGCAAAATTTACGGGCACAGGAGAACGGTACGGAGCAATGGCGGCTGATGTGACGTCAATGCAAGCCATGTATAGACATTCCGTCCGAAGTGCACTCCGGAGTGCGTATAGCTTTACTCATATTGTAAAAAAAAAAAAAAAAAAAAAAAAAAAAAAAAAACCCGGAGGCTGTGCTATTGCAGCCAATATGAGCTGAAACACCGCTCCACGCATTGCGTGCGGTATTATCACAGCTGTATGTCACATTTTTCTCGAAAGGGATGCACGCCGACGCCAAGACAACTCCCTTCAGGCACTCGGTGCGCCACTCTAAAAAATAATATGAACCAACTAAACCCAATCAAAGTTTCATTACAAACAAAACTGCCCCCCCCCCCCCCAAAAAAAAAAAAAAAAAAAAAAGAAAGAAAGAAAGAACTGGCCAGTTTGTTGCACCTTGCGAGTGGTTCAGCCGTCGGTAGTAGAAGTAGCTCACGCCGAAGGCTGCCGTTTCTGCGATCGCAGCGGCAATGACGATCGGTCCCCAGACGCTTCGGCGTAGTGCGGGTTTACGCATGATTGACCTACAAAACGGAAAAATCAAATGGAGATGAATTTTCGTTTCCGTCAGATGGTAGACCACCGGATGAAACTTGCACGTTACTCAACAAGCTTGAGGTCACGCACATTAAACTGTTCGAATTTTGAATATTGCCAAAGTTCCGAATTGTAACTTACCTAAAGGAACAGCGAATACTGAAAAATCAATCAAGTGCACTGCGTTGCCCAGCTAAAACTATTAAATTAGGCAGAAATAATAGATCACGAGCGGACAAACGTGGGAGCCGCCATTCTAACTGGATTGGCCACTGGATTCGACATATGAGGACGCAAAGACGCCCCAGAGGTTTCGTTTTTAAAAAGTTGAGAAATGGAAGGTGATATTGTGCATTCTTTCAAGATTTTTGCTTTCTGATATTTTGTTAGATACACTGAGCTGTAAACATATAAAAGGGTACCCGGGAAATAGCCAAAAGCCGTAATCATAGAGTTATTATACTGTACGCTAGAGGTTCAAGTGGCGCTAGTGTGCTGACGCAAATTGAAGCAGACAGCAACCAGTCGAAATTTCACTTGCGGTAATGCATTTCTATGGAAAAAAAAGTGAGTGCGTTTTCTCCCTGCGCTCGATCATAAGAGCAAATATCCCAAATAATTCGTACGTACTAGGTAGCTTGGAACATTTCTCAGTCAGACTGACGAAATAATTGGTCAGTTACGGTGGTTTTTTTTTTCAAATTCATCGCATTAAAAACAGTGCTAAAACGGCGTCGCACGTGTATTTATGTGCACTGTCGGACACTGTTAGCACGAACACGACGTCGCCGCTTTTCAGCGTGGGCTTGAGCGTGCCAAACGAACGAAGAACATCTGGAAATTAAGAAAGACGACAAGAACTACGCAGTAACACTGGATCAGTAACTACCCGTGCATGTAAAATCAAAATAAATTGAAGGCCACGCAATATATTCGACTTTAAAGGGCAACTCCGCTTCATTTTTGATATTTAGAAAACTATGTAGCCCTCTTCAGTATCATATAGGAAGACCCCATGTAAAATATTACGATCTAATTCCGTTGATATACCTAATAAACTGGCCAGCAAACCTTCAAGCGAGCCAAGTCGCCGAAATCTGCCAACTCTAGCGTGTGGCGCGAGGCGCAATCATCAGCGCAGTCAATGCCACGGAGTTGGAGCGGCCAACGTTGAACCACTACGTCAGAGGCGTGACTACGTCATTCTCGCGTTTTGCTTGTTTTTACTTCTCAGAACGAAATTGAACGATGACGTCATGAGTTTCTCTTCCCGGTGTTGGCTGACCGGACGTTCACGTGATCACCGTAACACGGATGCGCTAGTTTGCTCTGCCCTGCGCGCTTATCGGTCTGTTTCTCCGCTCCCCTTCTCCACTTTCGTCTTCTCCCCTTCCCCTCTCCCCCGGGCCATCACCGTCCACGCCATGCAAAGCGACCTGCCCGCGTCAAAAAAAAAAAAAAGAATCCTGCCCGCTTCGCGTGTCCTGTTTCTCGCTCCCTCCCGAACGTCACAAGACCACGTGGTTCGACGTGACATGGCCATGACTCTGACGACCCGAGACCGATGTTGCCTGACGCAACCGAAGTTTCGGTTTCGGTATCTGCTGATGTTTAAATTAGGATTACACAAATAATATTCCACATTTCGCGAATCCAAAGACGCAGAGTTGTTTAGTAGTGCTTTGTGAATGTGAATCACATGGAAGCCTAATTTTTTCGGAATTGAGCGGAGTTGCCCTTTAAATAAGTAGTACGCACTGCTTTATTCTTTCTGCTCTGAGCGTAGATGTTTGTTCTACGTTCAATATATGACCCGCACGCGGCACGCTCGAAATCTTTGAGAACAAGTGCCCGAAAAAAGCTGCCCGGCAGACAAAACAATAGAAAGAGACATGTTTCATAGCCCATGTACTTTATTCTCTCGACGTTTATAAAGTTTTTATCCGCTCATGCATCAAGGGGTCATTTTCATGTAGTGACAGGACTGGCATATTATCAATATATAAGCGTCACCGGAATGCTGGCGAGCCTTGAACACACTCTATATTCCTTTCGATTGTAATTTTGCTTGAAATCGCCGCTTGTTTTTACACACCTGCTGCGGAACACACCCTTGGGACTGAAATGTAGCGAAGTGAAACATTGTTCACTGATGAATAAAAATGCGCTAACGAACTTTTACAATGTTAATCGAGGTACATACTATTCGGTACGACCCAAATAACCAAAGTGTTCCGTGTTATTTTCCGGCGAAGAGACAAAATGCACGCGCGTTTTCCCATCGGAATGCACAGGAGCACCGCAAAAGTAGACTGGTTGCTGTCTGCTTCAATTTGCGTCACGGAAGTCGCATAGACACTAGCGCCCATAGAGTTATTATAATGTACGCTAGAGGTTCAAGTGGCGCTAGTGTGCTGCAGCCAATTGAAGCAGACAGCAACCAGTCGGAAATTGATTTCCGGTAATGCATTTCTATGGAAAAAAGCGAGTGCATTTTCTCGCTGCGCTCGATTATAAGAGCAAATATCACGAATATTTCGTACGTACTGACACATTGAAACATTTCTCGGTCACGCAGACGAAAAAATGGGTCAGTTACGGCGTTTTTATTTGAAATTCGTGGCATGAAAAACGGTGCTAAAACCGCTTCGTACATGTATTTTTGTGCACTGTCGGACACTGTTAGCGCGAACACGGCATCGGCGCTTTCCACCATGGGGGATATACGTGTCAAACCAACAAAGGACCCGTGGAAAACCAAGAGAGACGGCAAGAACTACGCATTAACACTGGACAAGTAACTCCTTGTGCATGCAGGCGATCAAAATAGATTGAAAGCCACGTAATATAGTCCGATTTGCAATAAATAAGTACTGCTTTATTCTCTCTGCTCATGAATATGTGCAAAGATGCATGTTCTGGGTTCAAATCATCAACCGTACGCTCCAAATCTTTGCAAATAGGGAGAAGTCGGAGAACAGGTGCCCGATAAAAACTGCCCGACATAGGAAAGAATAAAAAGGCACACCTTTCGTAGTCCACGTACTTTATTTCTTACATTCGAATGCTTTTTAACCGTCGCAAAGATGCACGACGGAGTCATTTTCATAGAGTGACAGGACGGGCATATTAGCAATATATAAGCGCCACCGCAATGCTAGCGAACCTTGAACACACTCCACATTCTTTTCGATCGTTAGTTTGCTTACAATCGTCGCTCGTTTTTACATACCTGCCATGGAACATAGGTTTGGGCCTGAAATATTGCGAAGCTTAACATCGTTCAGTGGTAAAGAAAAATGCTGTAATTAAAGCAATCACACTTTTACAATATCAATAAATGTACATACTATCCGGTACAACCGAAATAATAAAAAGTTATTTATGTTATTTTCCGGCGGAGACAAATTTCACGCGCGTAAGCGAGCAAGCCGGCCGTGTCGCGGCGGTCGCCTATTGTTCGCCGCGACCTGGCGGTAGCCGCCGCAGGAGCATCGGGCAGCAATGGCGACGAACAGCACGGCGGACAGTGTCCCCGTCGTGATTACGACGGAATTTAAGGCAGTTACGAGTTCGGAAAGTTCCTTCGGAAGCCGGTGCCGCCGGCTCAGAATCATCGCGAAGTAATAGCAACGAACAGCACAGAGGACAGTGGGCGACTAAGAATCCGGAAAGCTTCTTCGGTAGCCGGTGCAGAATCATCGGGGGGAAGCAGTGGCGATTAGCAGCACAGCAGACACCCAGACAACACACAGACATCCGCTGGACATCCAAAGGATGTCCCGACTGGGACATTAGGGACGTCCTGCGGATGTCCGAATAATGTCCAGAAGACATCCAAAGTGAAACACCAAAGGACGTCCTCAGGATGTCCAGGAAAGGATGTTTCCTGGACTTTATTAGGACATATATAGGACATTGTATATTTTCATACTGGTGTACTAATTTACACTACAGTGGGATAAGACCACACAAGTCTCGAAACAAATAAAGCTTTATTATTTCAATGTAAAAAGCAAAGACAGAGAAATAACATATGAGGTGGCATCAATAAGTATCTGGACAGCCACCACTGAACAAAAAGAAAATGCAGCACCACAGTGCGACACACCTGACCCTTCCTAGCAGGCTTGCCAGTCACTGTGTGGTGACAAAATAAATTCCGAGCTATGCTTGTTTGTTTAAAAGGTATTTCACAACTTTCTGACCGCATAAGGCAAATAAAAAGCTCAAACAGCACGTTTACATCAAATTTCCTGTGAGAATTGGGAAGAACATGTCAAAATACCACACACTCCTCACCAAGCATTTGGTGACCATGATTTAGTAAAAACATGTATAAGTGAGTGGCATGGACATTTTAGGCAAGGCCAAGAATTCCTTGGAGACGATGAAGAGAATGCCCTCCGAGAAACATAACATTTCAGAATGCCGAAAAAAAATCTATGTTATTTCACGAAGACCGTCGGAAGCGCATTTCGGATATTGCTGAACCATAAATAATGTCGAGTTGTTCAGCAATGTCCGAAATCGTTCTCAGAAAGTGTTACTGAATTAACGAGGATTTTTTCTGCATTTTTAAATGTTAGGTTTGTTGGAGGGCATCCTCTTGATTCATTGTTTTCAAGCCATTCTCAGCCTCACTTAAAATGTCCATGCCACTCACAGATTTGTGTAACCTAGATCAGTCACCGAATGCTTGCTGACGGAGTTTCTAATGTGTTCTTCTCAATTTTCACAGAAAATGATGTATGGACGTGGTTTGAGTTTTTCATTTGTGTTTCACGGTGAGAAAGTTGTAAAATCCCTTCTGAACAAACAAGCACAGCTAGAGATCACTCTCGCCCTGCACAGTAAATTTCGGCACAGACTGCAAGCTTGTCAGGAAGTGTCACACTGCTGTACTTGTTTTGTTTTTGTTCAGGGATGCCAGTTCAGAAACGTTTTGATGCCCCCTCATATTATCACAGTATTTCACTAGAATGCTTACTTCTGCATATCACTCAAACATTTCCTTTGAAGTGCAGAAACATAGAATATGTTATCACAGTATTGCACTAGAGTTGTTAATTATAAAAAAAATAACACATTATCTAAAACTGAAATACAGTTATGGCAAGGCATAGAAGCAGTACATGCCAAGTACTAAAAATGCAAGTTGCAGGACAGTAATGCCAGTAAAAATGACTAACCCCCTTTCAGCTTAGGGGCCAACAGTGTATAATGATTGTATGCAAGTCGTGCAAAAGAATTACTTTGGCAAAATCTAGAAAAAATATTGCCATGTGACCAAGGTCAGCAAGACCAGACATCTACATTAAATAATGCACAAAGTCTACAATAGCAGCCGAGCACTGAATAGCTAAATTTATACTAAAAGCAAGTGACATCAGTGACTCTGAACTTGCTTAATACAGGAAAAAATGCATGAACTGCATAGAAAAGAGTAGTGTAAACAAGTGTGACAAATACATCTTGTATAAAGTATCACAAAACTGAAATGCCAGAATGGCTGTTAGAATATTGAATCGATAGTGAATTGCCAAAAAAATATTGGTGCACATCTTACATACAGGGCACTTCAAAGGAACTGTATAAATTGTTGTCTTAATGTACTGTGCTACAATTTACGACACTGGTATCCGTAGGTGGTGAAATTTTCCATCCAAATTTCAATGAATGGCTTTACCTGAGAAGAAAGTAAAAAATAGGAATGTCTTCTTATCTGCAGCATTCGCCTAACGTCACAAGTCTGACTGGTGAAACAGCCGACATACGGCCCCCTCGGTCAAAGCAGACGGTCTTTTCCAAACCAAAAATGCTATGCGAGTATTTTATTTGTGAACTGCTGCTGCAGTTTATCAGCTGTTGCAACAATCAGATGTGTGCCATAAGCAAGCAAACACCATATGTAGAGAAAAGCATTCAGACTTTTAAACTTTTACTCAATTAAGTTGTTTCTTTGAAAATGTAACTCTCCAGATACATTACCACACTCCCTGCGGGCACCGCCGTTGCAAATTGTAGTGCAAAACGTTAAGAAACAGACTTGCATAGTTCCTTTCAAAGGGCTGCCCTGTTGAAGTGATTTCTTAGTCTAGTGTAAATGGTGTGCCGTCCTTCCTTCCCATGGACTTTTTTTCTGCCGCTGCCCGCTCAGCAGCATGACGGAGCCACGACATGCCTGCTTTTTCTATGTCCTTCTTAGTTGCCTTGGCTTCTTCCAAGTTTTGACGGTAGGTGAGGGTGCCTGCATATAAAAAAGTTGTTGTCAAGTTCAGCAAGATATTTTAGACTGGCAGAAAAAATGTGAGCTGCATTATGCAGTCAAGCTAACTGCCATATCAACAACTTCAGGCAAAGTATGCATAAGCAGGAACCAATTTCATTATTCTTGCAAACAAACCAAATGAGAAACACAACCCTTGAAGCAAATTTGTTTTGATGTGCCTGCGTCACTCTACAGCAGTAGCAATCAGTTCATTGAATGCTATTTCATTGACAGATCCTTCGACAGCCTCTTCTTCGCGACATAGCCTTGCATGTACTTCTTTGGTGGCCTGGATGTTGTTGGCATGTAATAAAGCGGAGCCTCTTTGCCGACATTCTGTTTCCGCCATCCCCATTACTATCCTAGCCGGCTAAGCCTTTGGCGATTCCAAACAGGCTTACCAAAGGCGGGAGCCGGAGGGGATGTTAAACTCCCAAGCGGAGTGAAGCAAGGGATGACAGTGCGCAACGCGGTCTGTTAGAAAGCCTAGCTTGCCGGAATCAGCAAAATAAAGCCAAAAGTCCAATGCAATCCACCTAGCGAAATAGTAAGTGACTAGCTCAAGATGCTAGTAACTGGTACTACTCTCATGAACAGAAACTAGTTGCAAGCACTACTTCTAAATAAAAACTGGTGCTCAAAGTAGCCAGAACAGCTAGATGATGCAGCGGCATGTGCTTTGTGTAAGCAGTGCCAATGAAATGTGTGTCAATAAAAAGTTGTCAGTGAAACGTGCATCTATGAAATGATACAAAACCCTTCTACAGGTAGCCATCACATTCCCGGGCATTATGTGGAAAAGCCGATCCACGGTACCTGAAGGCTACGTCTCATGGATCTAGGACCGTTACTGTGTACCATTTTAAAGAAATAAGAACATGTCTTTTTTTCTTCGGTGGTTGGTGGCGGGACAAGTGCAGGTGCCTGTTATAAACTGCTCTGCTGTATAAGAACATCAATGTAACACTGGGAAAAAAAAGTGACTTACACACTGGAAAATATGCTCTAATTATTTCATTTGTTACACTCTTATATCAAGTTATATACCAAATTTTCCAAAAAGGTTTTGCACTATTCTTTTATATTAGACTTCAGTACATACTAAGAATTGCACTTGTGCAGGTTCAGATATCTAACTTACTGCACAGGAGCTTGCAGATGTTGAGATCAGAAAACTTGTGTTTTCCCTTGGCGCCACACCAGCTGTACTCGGCTGCGACACTTGAAGATAGTATACTTCTCAAAATTCGGGTGGTCCGTTCTTTAGGTGTATCACCTCCTTGAACTAACATGTGTTGTCTCTGGTAAAAAAGAATCAAAACAGCAATCAGATCAGAAATATGGGCTAACATTAAACTACTAACTCATTTAGAATTTTAAGCATATCACAATCTTAGTGTGGTTTCATAAGCATAGTGGTTCTCAAGCGTTTTATCACCACTGGCACATAAAGCATTCACATTGTTAAAACACTGAAAAATTTTCAAAATGTGCCGTAGTTCTAATAGCTATGTTGAGATATCGATTTTGATGGCATAGCAGGAACATCTTCCCTACGGATGCACATAAATCTTAGAAACAAAACCACATGCTTAGAAGTATGGGCACTATGAGATCATTTCCGCCCAATTTTGACTCGCCTTCTCGGTACTGTAAGAGTGACCGACATATACACATGATGCAAATTAAAGTTAGGTATATCTAAACTTAAAAAATAAGATTTTATTGACAACACTGAAGTACCTGTTCAGGAATTCAGTCATGAAATGTGATTACTAACACGAAATTGTGTTCATGCATCTAATGAGGTTCTATTATAAGCTATGCTTGTAACTGAACTCTGGCACCTGGTAAGGAAACCTTTATCACCTGAATATTTACAAGGTGGAGTTCCAAAAATACAGTTGCTCATAAGAAAAAAAAAAGTTCAATCATGCATAGATGCAAAATACAGAGCTTAGTTTAGAATAACCATCATTTACCATACGAAGTCTTGCTCTCTTGTCGACCTCCAGCTCTTTGTCAAAGTGCACGAAGTCCTGTACTGTAGAAAAAGGCAAGTCCGGCAGGCCCTCTGGATCAAGTGGGGCATCTTTGGTGTTTCTGAGCAGCAAGCTAAAGTACTCGGAGTGGGTCTGCTGTGTCACCTTGATGGAATTCAGTGCCAACAGGATCCTTTCCATAAACACTGAAATGGACAGAACAGAGCTCCATCTTGCAGCCACAGTAGCATCCTCATTGCAGAACTGTTGACATAACATGAAATAGTAACTCTCCGTGATATAGCAAAGTTAAAGGAGTATGAAAGCAGTTTCTGAGAGTTCTTTAGTGACAATAACTCAATCTAAGTGCTCCAAGCGTTCTGAAAACCCGAAATTACACAATCAGGCGTGGCCCATTTTCCTACTAAAAACACGATTAAAGATTGTTACACGCCCCCTTCTCTGAGATGAATATTATTGAGAGGCAGCCAACAAGGGGCGCTTGTCAGCCAATTGCTAGCGATGGCTTTTCGTGCAGCCAACGAGTGGCGTGATTTCTGAACGTGTGGATCGGACTTCTTTTCAAAACAAACTATAACAGTACAAACAGTCAAAATCTCCACACATTCAAGTGTTTTCATTGCTCTAGTGTGTATAGTATGCATGTATTTCTGTTGCCTCGAGATACATAGGCAGTTTCGTAATTTGGCACTGGATATATTTATTAACTGGCACCTATAAAATAACATCAAGAACAATCTTATTCGGAAACCACCTTAGTGCCTCTTTAAATAAAAACACTAAGATAAATACTGCTCCTGACATATATTGTATGTTTTAGGAAAGCCATGCCCCTCACGACAACTCACACTCATTAGAAAAAAACGTTTCTAGACACAATACCTTTTCCGAATCGTCTTTGTCATGCACGTAGCATAAGAAGTAGAAGCCCAGAAACCACTATCGCAAAATTTGTTTCGGATTGAAGATCTAAATAGATATTACATACCAGGCACCTGTGCATCTGTGTTTACCCGTCCAGTGCCAGGGTGAGACATGTTCATAGGGGTTACAGGTGCATCTGAAATTTTATAAAATGCTGTTCTTGTTACATCGAGTCGGTTCACAGGAGACCACTGGTCAAATCGGTTTAATCAATTCGGAGCCCGGCGTTCGTCAGCCCGTGCACCCCGAGCCTCGAGCGCTCAGTGCCCACGCTCCTCGAGTGGCCACGAGCTGATAAGCGCCAGTCTGTCAGTCAGTACATAACAGTTCTCAGCTTTGATGTTATTTCGAAGGATATGAAAACTTTAGCATTCACAAAATAAAACTCACCAGGGTGTTGCTGCCACAGTGTTGCCGCCGCTAGAGGGACATCATTGGTACCTGAAATTGACAAGCAATTTTGCACAAAATGCTGAATGCTATAAAAATATTTAAAAAAGGTGAGAAAGAAATGAGTCAAATCTATCGAATGCCACTTAAGCTGCAAGATATACCTGCAGGCCGGATGCTTGAGTGAGGTGTCCTGCTCCTGTATAGAGTGTGCACTGGGGGGACGCTGTGGACACCTGAAACCAAAAAGAGTTTTTTTACAAAATGCCGAATGTTAAAGAAAATCCGAGAACATGCGAGAAAAAAATGTGTCAAATCCATCAAATGCAACTTCCGCTGTAAGATCTACCTGTGGGCTGGATACTTGAATGGGGCAAAATGTTCGCATATGGTGTGTGCACTGGTGGACCCAAGTCATCACCTGAAATTGAAAACAGATTCTCTACAAAATGCTGAATGTTAACAGGAAATTCAAGAACATGTGAGAAAGAAAGGAGTCGAATCCATAAAACATAACTTTAGCTGCAAGATCTACCTGTAGGCTGGATGCTCGGGCTGGACATCATCCTGTTCGTGTGGGATGCGTGTACAAGCTGGACATTGTCGAGACCTGGAATCAAAATTAAATTATCTACAGAACACTCACCTTGTGCACAAGCAGTTACCTATGTACTGTGGCTGCATGCGTGAAGACTGGGCACGTGCTTGGGATGTGGCTTGGGACGTGACAGTTTCGTACAGGGCTGCAGAGGAAATAGTCACACTTACTCAATCCATGTACCTGAACATGCACTGAAGAGACATAAGGTATACACACCAGAGTGATGCAGAGGTGACTTAGAGAAGTTGGCACCTGGAAAAGGAGGAATAGTTGGTAGTAAGCCGTTTGAAGTTACACTAGATGTTTTCAAAGAATTATTTTTTTCAACCGTCCTAGAGCATCGCCAACAATGCACGATGCCATACCTGTTTTCTTCCGTGGCTGGGGTGGCGTGGGTGGTTTTGGTGGTTCATATTCATCGTCGGAACCTGTAGTGTCGGTGCTGTCATCATAGTCAAAAGGAAAGGTCGGACGGCGTTTTCGCTTGCCACGACCTAGCTCTTCTTCACTAGTGAAGTCTGACGTATACTCCAGAGCCTGAAGTTTCTCCAGCGCCTTCTCATATGTGTCTGAAAGAAATTTACGCATTGAGAACTGGAAAGAATTTAGAGCAAAAAAGCGCTTACCAGCCCAGTCCTTGATCAGGCATTTGACCTGCATCCAACTGTCTTGTGGTTTGACGCCTTCGATTGTCATTCGACGACGCTTGTTAGGATTTTTTTCCTTAGGCCAAAATGTCGTTTCAGTGCTTTCAACGAGCCATGTTTTGTGAATAATGGCCAAGCTGTGATCTTCTTCAGGAAATGCTACAATAGCAAACTTGTCACCTGAGCGAAGCAGGAAAGGCAAGCATTTGCATGTCCACCGAGTTATTTTTCCCTCTTTAATGCAGCATACTAAAACCGAACTAGCTTGTCCAGTTCATCTACAAACAATATCATAAACTAGATTATTAATAAACAAGCAGCCATAAAAAAATTTCACTGTAGGTGCACCATTGGAATAACGGCAAATTTGTTTGCCAATGGGAGTCTCACACATTTCACTGCAATTTCTGAAAGTGGCCAGAAGTGAATGTCAGACAGTTCAGATGCAAGGAAGATGTTCAGCAATGATGAACTGCAGGGATAGCTGTAAAGGTCTTCTAGACTCTGGTACCTCCTTCCAACCAACACTGGTTGATAGTTCACTGCAGTGCGTGCAATGTTTTCAACTTTGATGATACTCTTGTCTTTTAACATGCAAGTGCAGTCTTTTTTGTTTGTTTTGATGGTGATGCCAGCAGGAAACGTCACGGTCTTGTACTGAGGTCCAATGCATCCGAGCGGCAATGGTCGACCTTCATGCCTTGCTGTCAGCTTGAAACTTTCTCCTCCAAGGGAGACAGAGGAGACGGGTGGAGTCGATGCTGCCGACTCTCCAGTGTTGACAGCAGGAGATGCAACCAAAAATCGTTCTTCTACGATTCGATTGTAGACTTGCTGCAGGGGCCTTTCTGGTTTGCGTACATAGCTTTTGAGTTTACGCATGTAATTTTCGAATGGGAAAGCACTATAGTTGTGAAGAGGTCCATGAACTCTTACGTCGCTTGCCACATGAATCAAGCCATGAACATTGTGAGAGACTGCATGTCTACCATATAGCGTTATGTAGGTCTCAACAAAATGCCTTAAGAGCCTTTCTGCATACCCTAAGTGCTCTCTACAGAGTAATGGGCTGCAAAGTATGGTGACTGCACAGTGAAGTGTCATGAAGTTGTCCATCAGAGGCTTGGGGATCCTTGACCTCAGCACCGCTGGCCCCGTGTAAAGAACAAGCAAGCGAAATTCTGACGCTTTCCACCTATCAATGTCGGACAAGCTGCGTGGCTTCCGAGACATGTCTGATGGCACATAGTGCCTCATTTCAATGTTAGCTCCCGACACAGAATCTCTTGATGCACTTCCAATGCGGTAGGTTTTATCACCTTTCAGCCAAAGGAGTACAAGCTTGCGCACAACACCCAGACAGATGAGGTGCATATAGTCAAGTGGCACCTGGTCAACAATATCTATGGGAAGTTCTTTTAAGATAGTTTCCATGATGTGGTGGTCCTCTTGCTCTGCACGCCTAAAGCTAGCATTTGTTTGTAATGGAGCATCAAGATCAGGGAAGCACATTCGTCCCCGCACATATTCTCCTTCAGTCGTGCACTTTGAGCAACTGAAGTAGCCGCTGTGCCCTTTGGTGCCAAGAATGTATGACTTGGCAGGCGCGTCGCAGATTATTGCTCCAACTTGCACTCGGAAGACCCTGTTGCCAATAGCAACACCTTCAGAGAGAACACCTTTCAGGTCAGACACAAACGGACTAAGGAAGACATTTGACTGAAGAGCCTTACACTGGCCATGATAGACACCAACTGGAAATGGGTCACTGCCTGCACAGTTAGCAGCTTGGCAGAGAATGGGCCAGAACTGATCCCGCGTGCTTTTCGTCAATGGTAGTCCATCTACATTCACATGAAGGATTATTGGATCTGGTATATTGCGCACAGGTTGCAGCGCTGCCCTGAGCCCCTCACTCAAGCCTAAATGGCAGTAATGGCCGGAATCCATGGGCCTCACATTATCAGTGACTCTTGGTGTAGACAAAAGTGCCCTGGCACATGTTGGGAGGTCTGAGAAACAAGAATGCGAGTGCAGTATCTTCAGGAGCTTTGTAACGGTATCATGAGGAACAGCCCCCTCTACGCTCCACCGCCGCAGCTTTTCCTTGAAACGTGAAACGTCGGATTCCTCTGATTCAGACAATTCATCCAACTCGACATTCCTTCGATTGTCTCTTTCTAAATGGTGTTCACGACTGTAAGGCAAGCCTTCCGAATCTACAGGGACGCCTCGTCTCGAGTGAATGGCGCTTGCACCGAAGACCGGTTCCGGAGTATCAGGCACAGTCTCAGAAAAACAGCACGTTGTCGGGACATCTTGCTGATACGAGAGACGTGATGGTTCTGCAATTAGTTCCGGCGATCCCGCGTGTTTTTGCGGCGCTCCTGCAACTAGTTCCGGCGACCCAGCGGGCCTTTCTACAGAAGCCTCATCCAAAGCTTCAGCTGAGCACATTGCATTTTCTCTACTAACTGACAGTATAAGTTTGAGATCGCTTTCCGCCGCACGACGAACGCGCCGATAAGCTGTTGTTCTGGGTAGAGCAGCCATATTGTCCATATTTACGATCTTCGAGTGGTTCGCCTTGTCTTGCAACAGCCAAGCTCTGCGAACGATGGAAATGTTGTAACACTTTCATTACTCGGCCTAAAGTCATGTCACATAATACGGAGTATTAGCAAAGCGTTACTGTTGGCTATTGCGAGCGCGGTAGCCCTCTGGCCGCGCGCTGCTTCAAAGGGGGAGCGCGAGCCTCAATACCGCTGTGGCGGATCAGGGGACCGGTTTGGTAAAAATCCCGACTGCCGCTTCAAACAAAACGTTAAATCATACTTACTTCCTCCAGCCATGGTGGCTAGTGAGTTGTCAGGTTAGCGCAGTAGCACAGTAGCACGGTAGCACGGCAGCACGGCAGCACTCCGGACTCCGGGCTGTAGTCGGCTGTAGGGCTGCCTAGAGCACTATATAGCTCCTACGGAGCAGAGTAGCGCAATCCTTTGAACCCCGTGTTTTGCCGACAACATGGCCGACAGAGCGGCTCGGCGCGAGTCACGTGGTACTCAGGGTTCCAGGAGGCGGCCCGCCCTATGGGAGAATACATGGAGATCGACATAACACGGCTGATTAAAAAAGTAACGGCGAGTTCACATTTTTCAAAACTAGCCTGTCGTGAAGTTAGTAAAGCGCTAAACACTTTACCAAAGTTTTAATAATATCGGATGCGTGTGAAAATTTTGAGAAGGCAATTTCCAAGGCAATGGCGTTTGAAGCAGACGATTTTTGCTCGCAGCGGAGATGAGCTTTTCGGGTTGGCCGGAGCGGGTCACGTGAATGGTGTGACGTCGCCGTGTCGTCTGCTGCATGATGCCGCTCAGGCAATTTTTTAAAAAAAGTTACGTCCTTGTATGGCACAAAACTTATCGCATATTATTCTAAAATGTTTAATTATTATGTCAAAAATGATTTCCATTCCGCACATCCCCACAAAACTGAAGAAACAACGATTTTCTCACGTTCTCCATGCATTTCTGACCGCAGTTGGAACCTCCGGGCGTTCGCCACTAGTCGCCGAGAGACGGCGTTCTACTAGGGCTGCCAGGGCTGCAGCTTTCCCGCGCGCACGCTATTAATGATGATGATGATTGCACAGCGGTGGCGATTGAAAGCTCTGCCTGAATTACTTAATTTCACTAATGTAATTATCTATGTTTTATTAAAAAAATAATTTGTAAAAATATATAAATATATGGTATAAAAATGATTGTGAAATTAAAAATAGAAACTAACCGAGTTTTAGGACCGTTTCGGTTTCGCCATAGTTCCGCTTTCGAATGTATTTAAAGCGGTTCATTTTTTAACATAATTTTTGTTCTTGTGTGCCTGAGAATTTAAAAGAGCTGCCTTTAGGCTTTTTACTATCGCTCTTGCTCTTGGTGTGTCTGCGAAGCAACGCGAGTGATTCTGTTGGCGACAAGACTCAAGAAATACGATAGGTCGCTTTTTCTGTTTTTGGCTCCCTCCGTTCGCCGTGGTTGCACGCCGGCACATTTATTGCGGAGAAAGGGCGGTGCAATTTGTAGGGGCGCGTACGCCGACTGTACGGCAAGCGCGGATGATCAAAACCCAAAATAACTTGAAACTGATTTTTCTAACGGCTGAACCAAAAGCGACGATTGCAATACGAGCCACGATCTTGTGCGGTGACAGTGCGTAAAGCCGCTGCTGTAATCGTCAAAAAAAAAAAAAAAAAAAAAAAGCGTGTCCTGATTACAGTCGCGCTGGGACGTGTTCCGGATTATGCCGCCCCGGACATCCGTGGGACGTCCGCAGGACGTCAGCAATGGGACGTGGGACGTTCGCACGTTTTTAGGACGTCCGAGGGACGTTTGGTGTTGTCTGGGCAGTGTTCCCGGGGTGATTACGACGGAGTTTAAGGCGGTTACGAATCCAGAAAGCTTATTCCGTGGTGCCAATATGACGAAGAGAAAACTGTTTCATGAATCTGGCCGCGTGTGCGACGTGAAGGAGGTCCGTTTCGACGGACAAGTGGATGTCTCGGAGCACCGTACTCTGCAAACAAAATTAAGCGCGCCCGCAAAAAAATTTTGTTGGCGTTGAGTGGACTGCGGTAATTATGTACGTTTATTTCTGAATCAGCTCGACAACAACTGGGCGAATTTTTTTCGCGCGTTCCGCGATTCTCTTTACTATCTTCCTGTAGGCTGATGGAAACATCCAACGGTAGGCTTAGGAGGGCGACCGCATTCCGCTTCTCGATTCCGGTGAAGTATTTGCTGCATACTTTAGAGTTTGCCGTCGGTGTCGATGCTGTTCCATCGTCGCTAGAAGAGAAAAAAAAAGTAAATTGTATTATTCGTCAGCAGCTTAAACAAAGCGCGAACTGGAAGGTAAGAAACACCACTAACCTATATGGACGCACAAGTCGTACCCAGGTCGCGCAGTACTCCGCCTCGTACGGCTTCGAAGGGACGATGTAGTACTTCGTGCCGTGCGCGATCTTGCCGACCACGCAGCAATTGTTGCGGCTTTCTTGGTGCGGAATAGCCATCTCAGAAATTACAGCGCTAACCCACTACAACGCACAACCAACGCAGCGACTGCAGAAGATGCCCGATCCAACGGACCCGTTTGCCGCTAGGGGCGCCCTGGTCGGGAGGAGATCGAACTATAGGGGGCGCTCTGACCCGTTTGTTTTCCCCACGCTTGGTGTTTACTCAACACAAGGCCTGTGCACATGCCAAAAGGCTTTATGGGCATGGCCATGTCATCTTCTACAATAGAGCGCGGGGCGCAGTTTAATGTAAAAAATACTAACAATCGACAAAGCGACGTTAAGTGCCGGATCTATCCTCAGAGAATGCGAGCTTGACCCACTACGGCTTTTGTGCTGAGCTGGGATCGTACCTGCTGCATTGTTCATGCAGGTCGTAGTGGAAACAAAAGGGCCCCTCCTCCCCTTCGCTGGAGAACACGAACTCCAGCCGAACGCTGACGCCGCGTTCGGTTATGTCGGCCGAACGCTGCGTCATTGTATTTGTTGTCCCCATCCGTGTAGTTGTTAGGTTAACCGCTTGGGGCGTCACGGTCTGTCCTCCTCCCCATATAGACCTTTTCCACAAGGGCGCCGCCATCTTGAATTGTCGTCACTTCCAGTATGGGCGAAAACATTGTTTTGCCGTCGCCACACCAATAGAAGACATCTGGGATATAAGCCTAACCGTCACATATTCTCGTTTTGGCTCCCCTCTATTTTTTTACTGGTTACAGGTTGAAACGTTTTACTATTTTGTCGTCGCCCATACTGGAAGTGACGACAATTCAAGATGGCGGCGCCCCTATGGAAAAGGTCTATATGAATGCACAGGAGCACCGCAAAAGTAGACTGGTTGCGGTCTGCTTCAATTTGCCTCCCGGAAGTCGCATAGACACCAGCGCCAGTTGAACCTCTAGCGTACATTATAATAACTCTATGCTAGCGCCAGTTGAACCTCTAGCGTACATTATAATAATTCTATGGCCGTAACACTTCTTCCGCGCAACGAGCTTGAGTGAACTTAGAGCGGTAAACCAGCAGTCAAAAATGGCTGCTATCACGCCGTGACCGAATGCGTTGTTTGCGTTTTCAATTGTCCGACTTCCCTCGAATGTACAATACTCTAAGCATTATCGAGCGATATAGAAGGAAGACCGGGGCACTTTTCTTAGTTCCCGACATGCCGTGTATTGTGCCTGCGTTATGCAAACGTCCCCTCAACCCACGATTGTATCTTTGAGCTCACTTTCAATAATCCTGTCTACTACCAATGAACCACAGTTGAAATTTGGTCAGGTTGAGCCCTGCACCTATTTTGTTTGCCAAACGTCTACTTCAATTTACTCCCAACAAACCAGGGATATCCGTCGGATGTCCGTGGAAGGCGCGAATATCCTGTGCCTGAAGCGGACGTCCGTAGAACGTACACCGGACATCCGTTTCTATACACCAACTCATGTTTGGATGGATGGATGGATGAATGCGGCTGAGCCCTTTGGATCGGGCGGTAGCTTACGCCACCTAGCCATTTTGTTTTACCATTTAAGCTTAGAATATTTAAATGTGAAATCTATATTCACTCCGCAGTGCAAAGAAAGTGGGGCTATAAAATCCCCTTGCCATCAGTTAAGAAGAAAATACCTAGTTTTTCCTCGCTTTCTGCCACCATTCACTTAATCTTTGCTTCGTAATCTCTACAGTCTTGAAATCCACTCTCCCTTCGCTGTCTCTAAAACCCAATGACTTTATTAAATCCATGTTGTCTTCGGTAGGCATAGGGTGAAGCCCTATGCCTGAGAGTAGTTGCAGAAGTTCTTCGCAGTGTAGGGACTTCATTGATATTTGTAAATCTTGTTCTCTTGACCAGGCTGTGTTGGTGCCTACGCGAAACAATGCGATTCTTGATTTATTCTTTGCGACTATTCCGGAGTTAATTCTATCTGTAAATGCTATTGACGCTATCAGTGATCACCGAATGGTGGTGATCGACGCTAACATTGCTGTTCACAAAAAGTGTTGCGAACATAAAGTCATCTTTGATTATGCTAGGACAAACCTACCGGAGATTACTTCGGCACTCGAGTCATTCCTTATCGAATTTCAGGGTTCTTTTAGTCTCAGATCAGTTGAAGATAACTGGACTCTAATCAAGGACAGGCTTTTAGAACTTATGCATCTATTTGTGCCTAAAATCAAAATACCATCCAATACACAAAAGCCATGGTTCTCGAGGTATCTAAAAGGCCTCCTTAACACCAAAAAACTACTTTTTTAAGTGCAAAGAAGCATAATAGTACGACCTCTTGGGACAAATATTTAAACCATTCTAAACTCTGTAAGCAGGCAATTGAAGATGCCAAACAACGATTCTTTGGTGCAGGGCCGTACCCAGAAAAAAAGTTCGGGGGGGGGGGGGGGGGGGGGGGGGGGTTTCGGGGACAACGGCGGCCATTTTGTCTTATTTTCGCCTATGAATCATGTGCATCGGTGGCATATAATGGAGAGTTACAGCAAACCGGAGAACCGGTCCCGGTTTGGTACCCGGTAGCCGACCGGTGCCACTGCGCGTGCGCAGAGGTGGAGATTAAAATCGGCTGGCTTTAAGCGCACCGACCATGGCCGTACCCAGAAAAAAATTTCGGGGGGGGGGGGGGGGGTCAGAACCCCCTAACCCCCCCCCCCCCCCCCCCCCTCCTGGTTACGGCCCTGCTTTGGTGGCACTCTTAAACAACTACTAAGTTCAAATCCTAAAAAATTTTGGAAA